GTCTCAGCTGACTTCCTGTTGCTGCAAGATGTAGGACTCTCAGCTGTTTCTCCAGCACCACATCTGCCTGCATGCTGCCATGCTCCTCGCCATGATGTTAATGGACTGAACTTCTGAAACTGCAAACGAGTCACCCCAATTAAATGTTTTCCTTATAAGAGTTGCCGTGGTCATGGTGTCTCTTCACAGCAATAGAAACCCTAAGACAGGCATGAAAGTCAGATATTTGCAGGCACTAGATAGACGAGATTTTTTTTTTCCTCTTGTATCATTTTTTTAATTAAAGCCCAAGCTTTAGTGCAGAGTTTGGTTGGAGAGGTGATGTGTTAGGATGTTTAAGATGCTCCAATGATGTTTTTACTGTCCTCATTTGACAGGTGACACACACTTTGACAGGTGAATCCTGTCACCTTGCCACCTCAATGTGTCAATACAATTAAGAACATTTTAAATATGAAAGGGAAGGGGGCAAGAAAAACGCTCAAATGAATGATTCTCCCTCTGGAAAAAGATCAGCGCAGTAGGGATGTGAGATGGTTAGAAGATAAAACTGACAAATGATAGGAGTAAAATTTGCCAACAGGTATGTGCACACACACAAGTATTTACATAAATTTACACAAAGAGACAAGCAGAGCCTCGTAGCCTCATATGACTGGATTAAGCGACAGGAGCATAGCAACAGATGGCCATTTATCCCTCTGACAAGCTGACCCGGGAATAGTAGAGGCAGGTCAGTATTTTATGTCACCACGTTTATTGTTCTTCAGCAACTACTTCAGAAAGTAGTTGGAAAATCTCCTTAAAGATATGTTTCTATTTTTATTTACACAGAGAGGGGGGGGGGAGACTGCATGGCCATGAATTAAAAATGACTTCATAGGAAGGGAAACCCTTCAGACAGCAGTTTAACTGTGCAGCCTCAGCAACGCCAGTCTGCAGGTGTACTTGTTAGACCCGGGCCAGTAACCACAGAGGAACTGAAGATAATGGGGGTCTGTAGTGCCTGCCAGGGTACAAGGAAGGAGGGAGAAATACTTTCTGCAGATGGAGGTTTTAATACAATAAATTGTGTGCTTGTTCAGTCAGTGGAAACCCAGAGGAGTGGGCTCCTGTCTGGGTCTCCTGGAAGGCTTCCAGGGCACTGGAGAGCTGAATCTCTAGGGAGCTCCTAACTCTGGGAGACCCCAGACTTACCCAGTTACCAGAACACACACTCAACTCTGAAGTTAGGGAATCTCGAGCTGGGGGCAGATCTTGGAGGTCTTGCTGTCACTGCTCCATCCTATCAGGGGTAAGGGGCTGGAGGTCACTGCTGCCTCCTGCCAGCCTGGAGTATGGAGGGTGACACCAAACTCCGCACCAGAGAAAAAAACCCTCCCCTTCTGCCAGCTCTGCTTGCCAAGCAAGAATGGCAGAAGATGGCTGCCACCCTGGCTCTGCCTTACAAGGCTTTCCAGGGCTCTACAGGACCCCTTGGAATCCAGAGTGCTAGCTACAAATGTGTCAGGATTGGACATTCAACTTTGAAGTCTATTTCACACAATAATGTTATACAGAAGAGGCAAATAAAATGCACAGTATTCCACACAACTACAGACAGGCAAGATTGTTATTATGTTGGAGAAAAGATTGTAAGGGCCACCAACTGAACTTGATATTGGTTAGAAGAGACACCCTGTGAGTCTTTAAGAAAACATGAGGTGAACATCATTTCATTAAAAACACAAATGAGCTTATTAATGTTCAAAGTCAGAGATCTATATGGTTATAATGTAACTAGATTTTAGTAAGACTTCTTCCTAGTCTTTTATGTCACAAGATGAACTTCAGAATCACGGTCAAGGTGGCATGGTAGTTTAATTTATAATTAATGGAAAGACTAGAAGTTGCTAATTAGTATACTTATATCTAATTATCACATATGATGTAAAAATTCATATTTTATCCCGTGTTACGTAATAAACCCAACAAGGACACTGATTTTTAAGAATAGCACAAGGTATCATTTGCTGGGTGCTCATACTAGCCAGGACACTACAGCTACACTCCTTCACTCCTTAAAAGGAGCTAGTCAGACTGTTTTACCTCTGATGCGAGTGTGTAGAAACTGACACTAGTGAGTGTGCACTGTTTTCTTGTGAGTATACATTGGTGAGCAGCAGGGCTGAGGTTCTTAGCAAAAAATTGCATCAAGGAAGAGCTGGCAGAGGCAGGGAGGGAGCAACACTGTATCAGGAGGAACTGGCCAGTGATTAGGCTGCTAAGGAACCCAGGAGTGGATGAATGTTTCATCATTTACTCCCTGGGACCTCCAGGCTTGGCCCGCTGTTGGCAAGTCCAGGCTAGTATCTCAGGGACTTAAACCCCCATGGGCTAGGCCTCCCTAATTTCTCCTTTGTAAGAAACAGTTACAAATTCATTGAAAAATGGGAGCTTTAACTCATAAACTGGCCAAATATGGGCACTGTGTTCTCGGACAGCATCGGTAGGAGAGTCCACTGAACTGAAGCATTGACTACAGGGAACGGAGTCAGCTCAGGAGAACGACCAGTGCGCTGGCTGGTCCTGGGAACTGTCTGTCTGGACCTGTCTGTCTGGATGACTGCATCTCTAGACTGACCTCAGAGGTCACCTGACTTTGTCTGAACTGACGTCAGTTGTTACTCTGACTCCTAGCTATTATATTTATTTTCACCCATTTATTTTGGAGATTTAAAAAAAAAAAAAATTAACTTAGGAGCTGGAGAGATGGCTCAGAGGTTAAGAGCACTGGCTGTTCTTCCAGAGGTCCTGAGTTCAATTCCCAGCAACCACATGGTGGCTCACAACCATCTGTAATGAGATCTGGTGCCCTCTTCTGGCCTGCAGGCATATGTGCAGGCAGAACACTGTATACAGAATAAATAAATAAATCTTTAAAAAAAAAAAAAAATTAACTTACATTTGGCTTGAGATTTTCCGACTTCCTTTGAAGTGAGTGATCAGTTCCTGCTGCGACAATCACTTGCCTTGAGAAGTAGATTTACATCTCATACTTATGGGCCCATCATTTCCCCTTTGCACCCTTGTAAGATGCCAGCCCGCCTGACACCTTCCTCTACCTCTACTCTCAGTGGTGGGATAAAAGTAGTAAATACTACCGTGGGGCAAAAAGCACCTTTAAAATGATTACATTTATTAACTTTGTGTGTGATGGGGGCAAGCACGTGGGGGTCAGAGGACAACTTGCTCAAGTTGATTTTCTCTTTCCACGATGTGGCTCCTAGGATTCCAACCAGAGTCCTGGGACTTGGCACCAATTTTCTTCCTTTATCTGATGAGCCATCTCAATAGCCCATATGTTCTTCTTCTTCTTTTTTTTTTCTGTTCTAAAGTGATGTAGGTGCAAAGTGGGTCCATAGATATCATCACCAAAGAGACCAGGGTAGATAGCTTTATTAACTCTGTGTGATAGGATAGCTGAGTGAGCATGTGAATGGATGAAAGAGTTGATAGCCCTACCCTAGATTTCACTGACACTCCAGTGTAGCGTTGCTTTATTTAGTTCAGGACCACATGTTCTGAGAATACTGATAGACGGAAGTATATTCAGAGGAAGCAGCGCAGATGGAGATGGGACTTGAAGCTACGTTTTGACAAATGGCGCGAGGACACTGGTGATATCTGTAAAGAACAGACCTTGGGGGAAGTAATGAAAGCTGACTTTCTGGGTATTTACTTGGTCCTTTGAAGGGTTTCAGAGTCAATAGTTTATCATAACAAAGGGGAACACTTTATATGAGTTGTCCTTGAAGCAGGGCCAACAGGAGTCATTGGTAACCATGGAGAGATGCTTGTCTTTGTTAGAATCACGGCATCTCTACTCTCAAAGCTGCCCACTAACAGAATGAGTTGGCCTACTCTTAGTAAGCTCTGATTTCAAAGGAACATAGGCAGAGAAAAAAAAATCCAGCTTTTGATGGAGCTATTTTAGAGAAAACTAAAGATTAGATGGAGGCATGTAATAGGCAAAACATAAAGCTTCATCCAAGTCACCCTGTGAGCCTCTCATTACCTTACAATATACCTCACATGGATAGAGAAAACCCCACTCTTCTTTTTCTTTTGGTTCAATAGCTTGAACCCTAAATGATCAACAAAACTATAAATTTAATAGATCAGTTTTATGGGTTCTAATTTGCTTATTCATGCTGCAAACTGAGACAAAACCCAGGAAACCCTTAAGTCTCTGGTATGCAACACCAACATTTTATGGGTATATCGTGAGATGTAGAAGCAAGAAGTCCCCTCTCACTTCCTTCCTTAATCTCTAGAAGCATACTTTGACTATATGAGGGACAGTCATATTATTTTAGATTGCCTTTTAAAGGCATGATAATTTATTGTTGTTGTCTGATTGAGGGCTTCACATGCTAAGTAGCATTTACTCCTCTTGGTACTGAGCAGCAGTTATCTGTTACAAGAGCATCTCCCAATGGTGTATCTTATTTTGAACCTTGTTATAGTTCATGAATGCACACTGATGATTGATCAACCTATGCTGCCATGCATTTACCATCAGACTGTAAAATCTGGATCTTGTCACTGGGGAAAGAACAGATGTACATCTGAAATAACCAAAAAACCTACCGCCTATCACAGATAGAGACTACCTACATATTATGTTGACAGATGAGAAGTTCAGGCTCCAGTAGATGGAATGACTTACCATAGCCAGGCGCCCAATGGGAAATTTGAGTACTTGGCTTTTGTCTCCTGATCCACAACTCACTGATGCAGTTTGAAGCTGCACTCTGGCAATGTCCCACCCCTTCTCCTTCCTCTTCCACATCCTGCCTGCCCTCCTTCTCTCCCCCACCTTCCTCTTCCAGTCACTCACACCTTCCCTTATAATTTTATTGACGTGTGAACTGAAAGCATCTAGGTAGGATTCCAGAGGGCTCTCCTCCTTGTCGATGCTGTGTGCTGAAGTCTGGACTGCTTTTGAATCTTGACAGTGCTGCATACGATGCTGTCCTCGACAGAAATGTGGCCATTAAGAAGCTCAGCCGACCCTTCCAGAACCAAACTCACGCCAAGAGGGCTTACCGGGAGCTGGTCCTCATGAAGTGTGTGAACCATAAAAATGTGAGTTCCTGTGTTATTTTTTTTTTTTTTATTTTTTTTTTTTGGTTTTTCGAGACAGGGTTTCTCTGTGTAGCTTTGCGCCTTTCCTGGAACTCACTTGGTAGCCCAGGCTGGCCTCGAACTCAC